CTGATGTCCTCCATCAGGAAATATTCACCCATTCCTGTGGCAGGCAGACAGAACGGTAAGATGACCCTCCACATCCGGTGAGTGGCTGAGCACCACAGCTGGGGACATTCTCGGGCTCACTCTTCTCTACCACGGAATGCTTCAGTGAGTTCAGATGCGAACCTGGCGGGCTCCCTAGAGCCCCCTGCTCAGGGTCTTGGTCTCTTTGGCACACACGGTGTTCAGTACACTCCGCTCTGCTGTTTGGAGGGTTTCTGCTTAGATTTTAGCGTTCCACACCGTGCAGCTTCAGAACTTGGCAAATGTCAAGTGACTGTGTGCCTGAGCTCTTTAAGTCTCCAGCCCTGTCTCTCCAGCCTAAATGGTGCTATAAGCTCTTCTTCCTTTCCTGTCCCCAGCACTCTTCCTTTGGCTGGGCCATGCCTGGATCCTCAGTTTCCAGTCAGGTGAGGCTGGCAAAGGTCCCAGGGAAGTGTGGCTGTGATCATCACCTTACCTCTCAGAGGTCCCTTCTCTCTGAACTTCAGTCCCTCTAGTCTCGTCACTTCCACAGCTCTCCGACACCTTTAAACAGATTGCTTTTTGTGTGTTGTCTAGCTCCTCTGTGTGTTCTCAGTGGGCAATGTGAGTTAGCTGCTCAGAGGAGAACCACATTTGGTGTTCTTAAAGGTGTTTGCTAAGAAGTAGATTTGCTGGGTCACACTTTATAAGCATCTAGACTTTTAATAGGAACCACCCAATTGTCTTCTGTATCCGTCATGAAGGGCTGGGTGATGCTGTGGTGACACATGAGCCCCAAACCCCAGTGATCACAACAGCAAGGACATGTTTCACCCCTGCTTCATGTCCATGTGGTTGGCTGTGCTTCTGCACCACACAGTCCTCACTTCAGAACCCCGGAAGATGCAGGGCGCTCTCTCTGGGCCACTGTTGGTCACTGGCAGGAAGAAAGGCAAGCACAGTGGACCACGTACTGGCTCCTCTGTAACAAGGTGACACTTGCCACTCCTGCTCAGCCATCACTGGTTAGAGCAAGTCATGGTCACACGACTGCGGAAAGGCCTGTGATGAGCACCACCGTCAAAGAGAGGAATATGTTTTCTACACATCTTCACATTTGATAGTTGAAATACTTTTAATATTGCTAATCTGATAGTTGAACAACAGCTCATTTCTTAAAAATTTGCAATTCCCTAATGAATGAGATAAACAGACTTTTCATATGTTTCTTGTATTCTATGGGTTCATGGAGGAAAAGCAGTATTTCATGACGAGGGGGTAAAGTGTGACATGTACCATACTTATAGAATCTCCATTACAAATTATATGATTCACATCCTTGATATTCTTCTTTATTTTGTACACTTGATTTGACAGGAATCAACAGTGCCGTGTTGAATCTCTCATTCCAGCTGGGTCTTGTCCATTTTCCTAATATGTCTAACAGGTTTTCTTGACGTATTTTGGTATTCGATGTTGGGCACATAAACATCTAACATGTGTATCAGCTGTGTATTAGATGTCACAGCTTTATGGGGTATAATAATGCTTATTAATATAAATTGGTCTCTTTGTCCTTCGTAATGATTTGTGCTCTATTTTCCGCTGATATTAATATTGTCACTCCTCGGCACTTTTTATCAACATTTGCCTCTGCAAATGCCTCCATCAGTCCTTTGTTGTTAAGCTGTACATCAAAATGTATTAAGTGTCCCTCGTAAATAACACACAATTGAGCTCTGTTTCTAATGCGATCTAAGTCTCGCCCTCCTGCTGCCGTGGAGCAGACCCTGTGCTAAGCCCCTGCCCCCCAGCATCCTCTTACTTACTCTTCTGGTTTTTGCCCTCAATTCATAAACATGCTTGAGTCTTTTGCATCTGAAGGAAAAACAAAACCAAAGGCCTTTTGACTGCATGTCCTCTGCCCACCATTAGCGAATCCTCTCATCTCCATGGTCACCCAGGCTGAGTGTGGTTCTTCCTTCTTTGTTTCTCATTCGCAGGTGCCTCAGAACTGCCCTGTGTCCCCTCTCTGCTCTGGCATTGCTTGGATGCCCCCACCTGTGCTGCCCTTCCTAGGGCCCAATCACTTTGCTCAGATTCCTGGACACGACTGGATGCGATCCTCTAGGGAAGCCATCCCCCCCCACATCCCCGGCTCCACAGAAGCTCTGAGCTGCCACCTCCCTGTGGGTTCCATGTGCTATTCACAGCTCTGCAACCACACTGGCCCCCAGTGGACCAGAGACTTCCGAATGCAGGACTGAGCTTTTTGTCTCTGTGCCTGCAGCACTGGTTGAACATGCAACAGGATGGGCACATGTGTGAGCAGCACTGGGCAGACATGCTGCAAGGTGGGCACGTGTCTGGGCAGCACCAGGCGGGCATGCAGCAGGGTGGGAACATGTTTGAGTGGTACCAGGTGGGCATGCAGCAGGGTGGACATGTGTCTGAGTGGTACCAGGTGGGCATACAGCAGGGTGGGAACATATCTGACTGGCACTGAGCAGGCATGCAGCAAGGTGGGCACATGTCTGAGTGGTACCAGGTGGGCATACAGCAGGGTGGGAACATATCTGAGTGGCACTGATCAGGCATGCAGCAAGGTGGGCACATGTCTGGGCAGCATACAGTAAGGTGGGCACTGTGTGGGCAGCACTAGGTGGGCGTGCTACAAGGTGGTTGTATTAGCCTGTTCTCACATTGCTATAAAGAACTCCCTGAGACTGGGTAATTTATAAAGAAAAGAAGTTTAATTGACTCAGTTCTGCAGGCTGTCCAGGAAGCATGGCTGGGGAGGTCTCAGGAAACTTACAATCCTGACGAAAGGTGAAGGGGAAGCAGGTACGGCCAGAGAAGGAAGAAGGGTTGGGGGAGATGCTGCACACTTTTAAACAACCAGATCTCCTGAGAACTCACTCACTAGCATGAGAATGGCAACGGGAAATCTGCCCCCATGATACAATCACCTCCCACACTGGGGATTAAAATTTGATGTGAGTTTTGGGCAGGGACACAATCCAAACCATATTATTCTACCCCGGCCCCTCCCAAATCTCATGACTTTCTCACATTGCAAAATACAATCATCCCTTCTTAACAGTCCCACGAATCTTAACTCATTTCAGCACTAACTCAAAACTCCATAGTCCAAAGTCTCATCTGAGACAAGGCAAGTCCCTACCGCCTATGAACCTGGAAAATCAAAAGCAAGTTAGTTACTTCCAAGATACAATGAGGGTAATGGCATTGGGTAAATACACCCACTCCAAAGGAGAGAAATTCACCAAAACAAAGGGGTTATAGGTCCCATGCAGGTCCAAAATGCAGCAGGGCAGTCATTAATTCTTAAAGCTCCAGAATAATGTCTTTTGACTCCACGTCCCAGATCCAGACCACACTGATGCAAGGCGCGGGCTCTCAAGGCCTTGGGCATCTCCACCCCTGTGGTTCTGCAGGGTACAGCCCCCTTGGCTGCTTTTAAGGGCTGCCATTGAGTGCCTGTGGCTTTTCCAGGTGCATGGTGCAAGCTGTCAGTAGATCTACCATTCTGGGGTCTGGAGGACAGTGGCCCTCTTCTCACAGCTCCACTAGGCAGTGCCCCAGTGGGGACTCTGTGTGGGGGCTCCAACTCCACTTTTCCCCTCCACACTGCCCTAGTAGAGGTTCTCCATGAGAGTTCCAGGCCTGTTGCAGACTTCTGCCTGGACTTCCAGGCATTTCCATACATCTTCTGAAATCTAACCAGAGGCTTCCAAGCCTCAGCTCTTGCCTTCTGTGTACCCACAGGCTTAACACAACATGGAAGCCACCAACACTGAATGGCTTGGCTTGCACCTTCTGGAGCCGTTACCTAAGACATATCTGGGGCCCTTTAGCCATGGCTAAAGCTGGAGTGGCTAGGATACAGGGAGCAGTGTCCCAAAGTTGCACAGGGCAGTGGAACCCTAGGCCCAGCCCATGAAGCCATTCTTCCCTCCTAGGACTCCAGGCCTGAGATGGGAGGGGCTGCTGCCAAAATCTCTGAAGTGCCTTTTAGACATTTTCCCCATTGTCTTGGCTATTGACATTCAGCTCCTCATGCAAATTTCTGCAGCTGGCTTGAATTCCTCCCCCAGAAAATGGGTTTTTCTTTTTTTTTGAAATCTTTTGAGGAGTCTCACTCTGTTACCCAGGCTGGAGTGCAGTGGTGTAATCTTGGTTCACTGCAATCTCTGCCTCCCAGGTTTAAGTGATTCTCATGCCTTAGCCACCCAAGTAGCTGGGATTACAGATGTGCACCATCACACCCACCTAATTTTTGTATTTTTAGTACAGATGAGATTTCACCATGTTGGCCAGGCTGGTCTCAAACTCCTGGCCTCAAGTGATCCACCCACCCCAGCCTCCCAAAGTGCTGGGATTACAGGCATAAGCTACTGCACCTGACTGGGATTTTCTTTTCTACTACATGGTCAGGCTACAATTTTTCTAAACTTTTATGCTCTGCTTCCCTTTTATTAATAAATATAAGTTCCAGTTTTAGATCATCTCCTTGCTCATGCATATGACCATATGCTGTTAGAAGTATCCAGGTCACATCTTGAATGCTTTGCTGCTTAGAAATTTCTTCTGCCAGATACCCTAAATCATCACTCTTATGTTCAAAGTTCCACTGATCCCTAGAGCAGGGTTACGACACCATCAGTCTCTTTGCTAAAGCATAGCAAGAATGACCTTGACTCCAGTTCCCAATAAGTTCCTAATTTCCATATGAGACCTCCTCAGCCTGGACTTAACCATCCATATCACTATCAGCATTTTGGTCACAACCATTCCACAAGTCTCTGGGATGTTCCAAACTTTCCCTCATCTTCCTGTCTTCTTCTGAGATCTCCAAACTGTTCCATCCTCTGTTCGTTACCCAGTTCCAAACCTGCTTCCACATTTTCAGGCCTCTTCTCTTCTCTTCCTGGTACTTCCTGGTCCCAACTTTGGCATTGCTATAAAGAACTACCTGAGTGCTCACTTTGGCAGCACATATACTAAAACTGGAATGACACAGAGAACATTAGCATGGCCCCTGTTCAAGGATGACAAAGAAAAATTAAAAGGAAAAAAATTTTTTTAAAAAGAACTACCTGAGACCCGGTAATTTATAAAGAAAAGAAATTTAATTGATTCACAGTTCTACAGGCTGTACAGGAAGCATGGCTTGGGGGCCTCAGGAAACTTACAGTCATGACAGAAGACAAAGAGGAAGGAGGCACATTTTACATGGCCAGAGAAGGAGGAAGACTGGGAAGTGGGAGGTGCCATACACTTTAAAATAACCAGGTCTCATGAGAACTCACTATTATGAGAACAGCAAAAGGGAAATCTGCTCCCATGATTCAGTCACCTCCCACCAAGCCCCTCCTCCAACACTGGGGATTATAATTCGACATGACATTTGGGTGGGGACACAAATCCCAAACCATATCAGTGGGGACTTGTGTGGGCAGCACAGGGTGGGTGTGCAGCAGGGTGGGCACATGTGTGGGCAGCCCTGGGTGGGTATGGTGCCAGGTGTGCCCATGTGTGGGCTTTGCAGCCAGGCATCCTGGGTTTGAATCTTGGCTTCACTGCTTCAGAATTCCAGGGCTGGGAGCAAGTGCCCACCTCCTTTCCTTCACCTATGAATAGGGATATATGTGATTTGCATCATCTTTATCAATTTACTGTGAGTGCCTAGTGGGCAGAGTGCCTGATGAGGGCCCTCTGTCATCACTGGTGATGGTTTTGTTATTATTGTTATTGATTTGCTGGTGGCTGGAGGCATTAGGCACACTGCCGACAGAGGCTGAAGAGGCTGTTTTTTAGTCTGTCTATTTAGTTCCATCCTTTAGTGAATCTCCATAGCTCTCCCACGTGGTGTGCTTCTTGAGCCCCTGTGAGTCTGCAGTCACCTGCCTTTTGCTGGAGCCTGTGCACGACATCTGTGCTGATTGCGGCATTGTTGAGCCACAACAAAGCCCCCATCCACAGCAGCCACAGGGCTGTGTCTGTTAAGGCCTGTTAGAGCTAATTACCTCCAGACCACATTCTTCAGATAAGGAGCATTGTTCTTTGACAGCTGAGGATGAAAGTGGTACCTAACATGCAGCTGCACTGGCTGTGAGGCTGGAGGCCTCAGACCTGCTCCTCTGTTGCCTGGGAGATGGCCAGGGAGGCCATGGCAGCAAAGAGGCAATAGGGGGCGGGGCCTAGACTCTGACTGAGAAGTTGATTGGCAGGAGCTGGAGGGCAAAGGTCACAGGAGGAGTGGGCTGGGTCTTTGTGCCACCTGTGTTCTCAGCACCACCACCAGCATCCCCACCCCCACCCCCATCACTCCTACCATACTAAGAGCTCTCCACCTGCCTACCCTGAGTGTCCTGAGACCCAGGGGCATTGCTTCCGCATCCTGCCACAGGCCATGTGCTTGGATTGGGTGCTTTTAGAGAGAAAGCTGGTGTCAGGCTGAGCTTACTTCCTTTGGATCTTAGATGCCATGTTAGATCAAGTTTTTCAGAGCAGATGCTGAGCCAAAGATTCAGGTTCAAGTGATTTCCCTAGAAGGTGCTCTCCGGGGAGAACGGATGGTGGGAGCAGCACAGGGAAGGTGTCTTAGTCTGTTTTGTGTTGCTGTAAGGGAATATCTGAGCTTGGATAATTTATAAAGAAAGCAGGTTTATTTGGCTCACAGTTCTGCAAGCTGTACAGAACAAGAATTATGTCACTGGCATCTGCTCGGCTTCTGGTGAGGCCCTCAGGTTGCTTCCACTCATGATGGAAGGCGGAAGGGGAACAGGAATGTCACATGATGGGAGAAGAAGCAGGAGAGATGGGAGGAGGTGCCACACTCTTTTTAATTAACAGTGAGAAATCACCCACTACCATGGGGACAGCACCAAGCCATTCATGAAGGATCCACCCCCATAACCCAAACATCTCCCACCAGGCCCCACCTCCAACATTGGGGATAATATTTCACATTAGATTTTATTCAAACTATATCAGAAGGCGTCCTGGCATCAGGATTTGCCATGACAGTGAAAACTGAAGCTACCACACCTAAGACCCAGGTTCCAGAACTCATAAGACACCCCTTCTGCCTCTTTGGATTGGCCAAAGAAGCCATGAGGCCAGCCTGGAGTCAGGTGGAGGGAAGTGGACTTCCTGGGTGAGTGGCTGCACCCACAGGGAGAGAAGGAGCTGTCCGGATTTATTTGTTACAGACGACCACAGCTCTGCCACCTATCTCCACTGACACACTCCACACCACTCACGCTCCATGGCCTAAGTCTCTCGGTTGTTGTTACCTTGTCCTTCACAACTTCTTCATTTGCCTTTTGGTGGACTAAAATTCATTCTCTATTTATTTATTTAAAAGGAACGTCAGTAGACAACAGTTCCTCAATTTGTGAATATTTTCAGAAATGCTTTTTTACGGTTCAACATGAATAACAGGTTTATTCTGTTCTAAAATTTTATTCCGATATAAAATTATTGGTTCGTACTTTTGTTTCCTGGAGATTTTGCAGGCATTATTTCACTCTTCTCTAATATGAGGTGTTGCTGTAGAAAATCTGAAGCCAGCTTGGACTTGTCTCCTCATGTCAGGGCCTTCATATTTTTGCCTGGCTGCCAAACAAATTCTTTGTGTTTGACCCCCATGTCTCAGTGCCGATCATGTGCTACAGTTTGTGTAGAAACATGATACACCTTCTTAATCCATAGGTTTCATCTTTTTTAGTTTCACAACATTTTCTTGAATTATTTGAATCTCTTCCTTTTATATTTGATTTTCTCCTGCAAGGCAACCAATTATGTGTGTGTTGTGTCGGCATTTTGTGTTTTCCTTTTCTATCCTTTTCCTCTAAACCATTGTGATGCTTATTCTTTTCTGGTTAATTTTTTTTACTTTTTCCAAGTCTGGCTTCACCTCTCTGGCAATGGTTTTAGCAGAATCAATTCTCCTTTTCTCTGATTCTAGTGTGGCCTTCATTTTGTGATTTTTTAAAATTCTGCTTCTTTTCTTGAGCTCTGCCTACCTGTTTTTAAAATCTCCTATCATCTTACTGTTTCTCATTGAAGTCTGTCTCGGCTTTTGTTTTACATGAAAGGTATTTTCATCTAGATCGTTAAGTTTCTGATTGTTAAAAATGTTTCTATCATCTTCCCCAATGCAAGGATTTTTCGTGTCTTTGCTTTTTACCTTTTCTATTATTTTCTTCCTTTTTCTTGTAATGTTTTCAGTGGACTCTACTCTCATTCCTTTCTGTCGTTGTTTACTTGCGCATAAAGTGAGTTCTTCCCGAAACAGCTGTCTGCAGTGTGTGGGAGGGCAGTCCTGGGGAGAGGAGTGACCCTGGCTGGCTGTGCAGCCCAGCAGCAGGGCCTCCACCTCGCCCTAGAGCAGTGAGTGCACTTGGCAAGGCCTTCACACTCTCAGTGGCTCAGAGTTGTGGCTGCCTCCTGTTTTCCGTGAGGATAGAATTCCCATCTCTGTTTCTCATCCTGGTTGACAAAAAGAGAGACAACTTTACTAAAGGCTCACTTTAACAAGCAACGGACACTTTTTGCTTGGTCGTTTTGTGTGCGTGTATGTTTGTTCCATTTTGTTTGCTACAACAAAAGCAACAACAAAAGAAATAAATACCCTTAATTTCATAACTCTGGAGATTTTTCACAACATTTCACAACTCAGATGTCGTGCCTGGCGGTCTTATAGAGAAATCCGTAAAGATTCATTCACTCGTTGCTATGGACTGAACGTTTCCTATGTGGAAGCTCTGACCCCATTTGCAAGTGGGACACTTGGGAGCTGATGAGGTTTGGAGGAGGTCATGAGGACCCCGTGACAGACCATCCTGTCTCTGCTGTGAGAGGACACAGCAAGAAGGAGGCTGTCCAGGGACCGGGAAGCAGCTCTCTCCAGAGCGAACCCTGCCTGGGACTCCCAGCCTCCAGAAATGTGAGAAGTGAATGTCTGCTGTTAAGCTGCCCCATCTGTGCTATTTTGTTGTAGTGGCCTGGACGGACTAAGACACGCATTCAATCATTAATTTATTCAAAGATACTGCAGACCACCTCTTGGGTAAGTTGGCCATGGAGTTCTTATCCGATGCCAGAGAGGCAGCATAAATGAGACAGCCAGGTGCAGCTCTCCTGGAGTCTGACCACAGCTGAGACAGAGAGAGAAGACAGACAACGAGCCGGCAAGCAAATGAAGCTTCCTGTTTCTTTAATGCAGATGAACTAGCAAGGAGAGAAACGGGGGGCGGGGGGGGGCAAGGTGCTGCTGAGCCAGGCGGGCTGCTGCTCGGTGCTCACTGGGGAATGTTGTTCAGGTGAGTCAGGGCCTCATGCCACGGAGAACATTTATGCAATCCCACCTGACAATGGCTCCTGAAGGAAGAGACAGATGTACAGCAAGTACCGCATTTCAGAAATTCACGGAGCAGCAATTCTGAAAAGCGCGGGGAGAGCAGGGGTCAGAGCAGGGGCAAGGACAGCAGCCAGGACACAGGTTTCTTTAGGATCTCTGGACTGGCAGCATGCCAGGCCACAGAACACCTGTGTGGACAGTCTGTGCCACCCCCAACCTCCTCACTTCCAAAGATGAGCTCTCCCCTGCATTTGGGACGCCCACACCCAGGGTCACTGCCAAACAGCACCATCCTCTGAATCTCAGGATCTTGCCCTGGATGCCGGCTCACTCCCTCACACACGTCCTGTGGACTTCACTCTAAAACGCTCCCAGAAGCTGGCCACTGTGCCCACCTCCACCACGGACTCCAGGTGCAGCCCTCATCCTGTCGCTGGGTAGACCTGCGGCCAGGGTGTCCTCGCTGGGCAGTGAGATCAAGATACTTCCCGCCCCTTCCTCTCAAAACTCCCCACTCAGATCTACAGCAAAACCCAAGTTCTTCAGTGCTTCGCAAGACCCTTGGTCCTACCAGGTCACCACTTATCCCAAGATAGATTCCAGACGACCTGGTGGGTGGCCTAACGCATTGTCAAGGGCAAGGGCTTGGTTTTTGTTTTGTTTTCTTTAGAGACAAGGTCTTGCTTTGTCACGCAAGCTGGAGTATAGTGGTGTGAT